TGTTAGTGAATTACATCAATTAATTTTCAAATATTAAAACAACTTTGCATTCCTAGATAAAACTTATTTAGTTATAATGCAGTACTTTTTCTATATTCTTGTGTTTAAATTTCTGAAATTATTCATAACTTCTGCAAAGATGCTTCAAGGGGCTACTGATCTGAAATTTTCTGGGGTCAGGGATAGAGCTCAGAAGCATAAGCACCTGCATGAAATCTTCTTATAATATCTTTGTGTTTTAGGGAAGGGTCTACAGGGTGTTCAGGGTCTCACTACTAGATCTGACTCATAGTGATCCATCTTTTTACAGCCTCTCAAGATCTGGGATTACAGGTGCACACCACCACGCCCAGTCTTGATCGCTGTCTCAGGCACCCTGGGGGGGGCGGGACCAGCATGGCAGGCCTAGGGATCAAACTCCCGGACCCTGCGCCTTCTTGCAAGTGCTTTAATCCACTAAGCTATTTTCCAGGCCTTAATATCTTTAATTTTTACATCACAGTAATGCTGGATACAGAATAAGTTTTAAAGAATTACCAACTTCTATTTTCTGGAAATGTGTATAGAAAAATATTCATTGTTCCTTAAATATTTGGTAAAATTCACAGTGCAGCTATGTGGGCCTAGTTTTTTTGTTTTGTTTTGTTTTGTTTTTGTTTTTTTTTTCCGGAACCAGGGATTGAACTCAGGCCCTTGCGCTTGCCAGGGAAGCGCTTATTCCACTGAGCCATCAACCTGGCAGCCTAGATTTTTCTTTGTAGAAAAACTTTTAATTACAAATTCAATTTTTTAGTAGATATGGGCCTAATCAAATTACCTTGTTTATTACTGAGTGAACTTAATAGTTCATAGCTATATTGTGGATTTTTTAGTTTTTATTTTTCCTGAAGCCTCACCACCCCCACCCGTAGGCTGAAAGCACCTCACTCAGCATACCCAACAATCAGGTCTACCAGTGTAGTAAGATGGTTTCTACCATTAGTTCCCCCTTTCCCTTCCCTGACTGTGACCTAGTGATATGCAAAAGCCCCACTGAAATATTCTCATGTCTTTTGAGTTTGTGTACTCTAACCCCTTGCAAGGGCATCTGTCTTACTTTTCTGTCATTGCTGGGACAAAATACCCGACACCCAAATTTAAAGAAGGAAAGGTTTATTTAGCTTACAGTTAGTGGAGGTTTCAGTCCACACTTGGCTGGCTCCAAGGTAGAGTGGCCCCTGGCAGAGGATAGCCATTCATGGTGGTGGGAAACAGCAAAGAACAAAAGCAAATGGGAGAAGCAGAGGTGGAGAAGTAGTGCCGAGCAAGCCTCTCTCCCTTCCTTACATTGTACTGTAGGCTATCCATGGGTGTAGCACTCACACCCATAATCCTAGCATTGGATCATGAATTAATCACAAACTCTAGAAGTCTGCCCCAATGACTGCATGAGGTTGGGGGGGGGGTGGCAACTAGACACAAACTATAACAGCATCTGTATATGAGTCTTTATTGGTCAGGGTTAGCCAAAGGAATAGAACCAATAGAACATATATGTCACTATAAAAAGGGATTTATTAGATTGGTTTATAGGTTCCAAGGTTGGATAGTCCCACAGTTGTCGTCTGCACACTGGCAGCCACAGAACCCAGTAGCTATTCAGTTTAAGAGGCTGGAAACCTAAGAATGATGAACCAATGGTGCAACGAAGCTAAAACCTGTAAACTTCTAGGAGAGTTGCTGATGAGTCCACTGTGAAAGGTAGAAGAAGCTGGAATCAGCAATTCTGAGGTAATGACAGCAGCAAGAAACTCACCTGCTCAAGCCAACTCAAGCTTACAAGCAATAACTGGTTTCCCACTGCTTTTGCTCCACTCTATTGTATTGGATGAAACCACCCGTATTCAGGGCAGGTTTTCTGCCTCAGTTTCCTAGCCCACATGCCAGTCATCTCGGGGGACACCTTCACAGACACACCCCAATACATGCAGAAGTGTATTTTACTAATCTTCAAGGAGTCTTTCAACCCAATCAGGTTGACAGTGTCAGTCACCATAGTGTTCACTTTCTCTTAGCTCCCGGCCTGCTTCACTGAGTCAGCTCCTAAGCACCAGCTTCCCAGCATAGCACCATGTGACATGTTGTGTCTCACTTTCCTAGGACATACAGCATAGTAAATCCCTTAATTTCACTTATCTCTCTGTGAAGAGATAATTTATGTGACCATATCAAAATGATCCTTGGGTCTCAGGAGGGGGACTTACTTCTTTACATAACAATTTTTCAAGAAAGGTGTCCTTTTATCTAAGTTACAAAAATAATTGGCATAAAATTTTAATATTCCCCTAGTATCCTTTTAATACCTATAGTTTATAGGGCTGTAAACTGTCCTTCCTAACACTGATAATCTGTGTCTTTTCTCTCACTAATCAGTCAGGCTATAGGATTGTCATACTGGTTTTAAAACTAGAGCTTTGGTTTTGCTGATTTTCTCTATTGTTTTTCTGCTTATTTCAATTCATGCTGACTCTTTTCTTATTCCTTTTTTTCTACATACTTTTCATTTTATTCGCTCTTCTTTTTCTATCTCCATAAGGTAAAAGATGAGGTCCCTGACTGAGATCTTCATTCTTTACTTATGTAATCATTTGGTACTATAAATTCCCTCTAGGTACTGCTATAACCACATTCCATAAATATTACTGTTTTCATACTCAAAGTACTATTACCATGCTTGCTTCTGCAGCACATATACTAAAACTGGAATGATACAAAGTACTATTACCCTTTAATTGTTCCCTTTGGCCCATAGATTATTTACACCTGTGTTCTATAACTGTCAAGTATTTGGAGATTTTCCAGATATCTTTGTTTGGGTTTCTAATTTAATTTTGTGGTCAGAGGACACACTTTGTGATCTGAATCATCTTAAAAGCACTGAGATTTATCTTACTAAATGTTCCATTTGTACTAAAACTATTTTTATTGTTATTAGCTTGAGTGCTCTATAAATGTCAGTTAGATGAAGTTTATTAATAATGTTGTTCAAAACTTATTTCTGAGTTCATACTATGTGATCCATTGGATAAGAAAGAGCCCAGGTCAGTAACACTGTCCTGCTATATCTGAGAAGCCATGAGATAAAAAGTAAAGGCTACGAGTAGAGGGCCATGGCTTCTATGCACTTTTTTTTAATGTATTTGATACAAGGTCTCACTATGCAGCTCAGACTTGTAGTGAGACTGCTGTTTTCAGCCTCCCCAGCACTGGGATTACAGGCATGCACCACCATACCCAGTTTCCATGGCCAGCTCAGTGTACCTGGGGCAGGGTCAGCGCAGCATGTGGTCCCTACACTTGCCTAAGCAGGCGCTCTTTGTCTGCTGAGCTATCTCACCGGCCCATTCTATGCACTTTAAACTACTATATGTCTATTCTGATTATATGTATATAGAGAGACTACAGAAATAAACGGAGTGAAGTCAGACCTATTTTACTTACTGTGAGTTACACTGCCCAGGACTCAATTTATCACTGAATTTCCATTAAATCTCACATAAATCTGACATGATGGTATATACTGCAAGCCCCAGCTACTACTTTAAGGAGCCTGAAGTGGTAGGATTGAGCCCTGAAGTTCAAAAATAACCTGGGCAATACTGCAAGAGCTTTGGCTAAAACAAAACAAAAATCACACTTGCGTGTGTGCACACACACATACACACGTTACTCTAACCAGTGGCCCACAGTGGTATTTTTGATCCTTTGCAATCTATGTCAGAGAAGACTCGGAACCTGTGCCTAAAAATTCAGAGTACTGCTCTTAATCCCCTGCACAGTTACCCTGCTAGCTGATAATAATTGACTTTCCCTGGAAGAAAGGGTCAAGGGGTACTTATCAAATATATCTGAGAATATTCCTTACAGAATCAGGCTGTCCTTCCATTTGGAGCTGTAGATCTGAACAGCCTTAGATCTGGAAACAAGGTGAAAACTACCTGGTTTACCATGTCAGCTTTCTGCTTTCCAGTTCTCAGGTTTAGTGTGAGGCGAGTTTATTGTAAAAGCAGTTTCACAACTCTGATGTCTTAATGAGCTGCCCTTCTATCTTGCACTTTGGAACATTATGAACTTAAATTTATTCACAGACTCATGATTTGATGCCTAGTGACACAGCTACTGGACATCTAACACTCTAGCTTCCATTCACATTTCATCCAGATCCACTGCTGTAAATGATGCAGTCACAGAATCCCATCCTGAGTACTTTATAAGGCCATTCTTGGTACCAGCTATCTTGGCCCAAGTTTTCCCCACATTCAAAAGAAAAGCCCAAGACCAATTTTCACATAGAGGTAATTCATTTGAGAAGTGATCTGAGGAAACCAGAAGTAAGGTTGGGAAGAGTACAAAACAGAAAGCTCAGATAGGAATGTATTGTTGAATTGCTTTCTGCAATGGGTGATTAGTGTTCAATCCCATAGGAATTTCTGAGCACTGCCTAGCCAATTCTGTGTAAGAACCACACACAGGCTGGGGATATAGCTCAGAGGCATAAGCACCTGCCTAGCAAGCACAAGGTCCTGAGTACAGGGTACTGCAAAAACAAATAAAACCACACACTAGGGCCAGGGATATACCTCAGTGGCACAGCACCTGCCTAGTAAGCAGAAGGTCCTAAGTTTGATTCCTAGAACAAAAAAATAAATAAAAATAAAAATAAAAAAGAACCACATACTAACTAATTATATCACTGGCTCTCCATGCCTAGTCAATTCTGATAAAAGGGGGAACACATATATTAGTTTCCACATCTTTAATTTTTTTTAATAGCCTGAATGCATTTAAATTATGATAAGCTAAAAATATTGTACTTTCAAAGCGTGACCCATAAAATAACATCACTTGATAAGAAAAACTGTACATATAAAGTGGTAAATCATGAATTTTGTCAAAAATAAGGTAATTTCACTTATTTCAATAAATTAAGAAATCCTCCCAAAATATATATTTACACATTTTAAAAAGTAACAGAGAAAATAAACTCTATTATTATATTTAAATAATCATGAAAAAGGTAATATTTGGATGATGGCTTTAATTGTCCAGACTTCATGAAGGTTTTGTAGTTGATGGCAACGGAGCTTTTCCTTTGTTCTTAGCAGCCTTTTCCATTTTTATCTATAAATATAAAACATTTATTATATATTACTTTGCAAACCAACCTAAAAAAGAAAGTTGTACATATTTCATTTCATTTATTACTCATCACAGATGTAGCACGTAGTTATTAAACTACTAAATGTTAAACGTTAAAGCCAAAATCTGATCATTAGCGGGACATGTTGAACATCTTTAAATGGTTTGAATTTAACTTTATAGAAACATTTCAATGAAAATAACGTACAAGTAAACGTTAACTTAGAGAAGGGAATAAATCGTTATTAAAAAAGATTTTTTTTTTAATGCTTAAAACTCTAAGTTGGGCTGGGGAGATAGCTCAGCAGTCTAAGTGCCTGCCTGGCAAGCACTGGACCAGGTTCCATCCCTCCATCATATGTCACGCCAGCCCCACCCCTAGGTGCACTGAGCCAGCCACCAAGACCAGGCATGGTGGCACATGCCTATAATCTCTGCACTGGGGAGGTTGAGACAGGAAGATCACTACAAGTCCAAGCTGTGTAACAGACCCTGTACCAAATAAATACATTAATAAATAATTAAATACTCTAAGCATACATCCATCCTATGCATATCCCCTACAGAGTGCAGAATACACCTAACCAATTTCTTCCTCCATCACAGTTAAAGCAAAGAAGCACACATACCTTAAGCAGCAACCATCTAACCTTTCAGACACATATAAACCTTTTCCACGGAGTTACAGACCCCAAGAAAATACAAAGCACACCTGCTTCTTACTCACCACTCATTATATTTACACACACAACTTCCCCAGGTAGCACCACTGCCTTAACCCAGAAGAAAGGAACAGAAAATAAAGGGCAGGGCATGTGGAGACTGGGCTTCCTACCTCTCAAGTGGCAGGAGTAACAAGAAACTATGCAGGACCTGGTAAAACCAGTTTATCCAAACCTATCAAATAGCAAGCAATAAATTCCCAGTGATAAAATCAAATTAATCTAGCCTCTGTCTCTTCCCCAGCTTTTCCCCATCTCTTCTCTTCAAGTTCGCTGGCAACCTCATTCCGAAGCCATACACACTCGGCACTCTCGCACGTCACCTGAAGGATTTCCAATGAACACTCTAAGGCAAAGATTATTAGTTTGGGAGTCAAGTAAAAGGACATTTGAACCTACCTGTTCCATTTAGGAGGCATTTGGGGCAAGTATCTTAAGCAACAGTTTCTCACTTGAAAAAGACACAGTAATAGCTATTCCTGGGATTGTTTTAAAGATTTAACTAAGAATAGAGAGGTAGGTAGATACACAAACAGAGACAGAGAAACAGAGACAGACCTAGGCACTAAATAAAAACTCAACAAATGCTGGACCTTTTTCTTTTAAAGCCAACTGTTACATACGCAGTAACACTTTTTTAAAAATATGCTGGGGCTGGTGAGATGGCTCAGTGGTCTAAAGCACCTACTTAGAACAAGCTTAGCTAAAGCACAGGGACCACGGTTCAATCCCCCAGCACCACATGCCAGCCAGCCCCGCCCCCTGGTGGGCTGAGCTGGCCACACACACACACACACACACACACAAAATAAAATAAAAAAAAAAATAAAAATATGCTAAACAACAAGCAACAGTCAAAGCAGTACTGTTTCACTTGAACAACTATCTAGAGTCCTAAGGGTAAACATACCTCCTTTTCTTCCTCGTATACTCTATTTTTAGAAATTTATTTCCTTGGCATGAACAAAGTGCCTTGCACCTTTGATACTTATTTCCTTAATAAAATTTTCTCGGGTAAAAGAGACTGAGCATCACCAGAGAAAAAATAATTTTATGTGATATGTAAAAGCAACTTTTCAGTAACCCCTACAAGTAGCTGGTAAACTATGCTACCACAAGGCTTCAACTATCAAAGTCAAATTAATCATAAAATTCTTCTCACATGTTACCAATGATTGGCAAAGAATAGGAGCAAAAACCAGATGCCCATAGAGTGTAACTTACATTTTAGACAGGTCTTACTGTGTGATTCAGGGTGGGCTTGAACTCCCTACGTAGCCCAGACTGGCCTTAAACTCAAGCAATACTCCTCCTCAGCCTCCTGAGTGCTGAGATTCCAGATGTGTACCAACATGCCTGACTTTGCATAGCATAGTTCTTGAGAGATTTTATTTATTTATTTACTTATTTATTTATTTATTTATTTGTGTGTGGCCAGCTCAGCCCACCAGGGGGCGGGGGCTGGCTGGCATGTGGTTCTGGGGGATTGAACCATGGTCCCTGTGCTTTGCTAAGCTTGTTCTGAGTAGGTGCTTTAGACCACTGAGCCATCTCACCAGCCCTTGAGAGAGATTTTAAACCAGTGGTAGCAAACCTACAGCACATGTGCCACATCAGGCTATTTGTATCATTTAAGGCTCTAAAAGGTTCACCATCATGGCCTGAACCATCAGAGCTTCCTAGCTGTCCCTTTTCCTTCAATAATTTTAGTATAGGGGCTGGAGAGATGGCTCAGTGGTCTAAAGCACCTACTTGGAACAAGCTTGGCAAAGCACAGGGACCGCGGTTCAATCCCCCAGCACCACATGTCAGCCAGCCCCGCCCCCAGGTGGGCTGAGCTGGCCACACACACGCGCACACACACACACACACACACACAAAAGGAATAAATAAATAAATAATTTTTAAAAAATAATTTTAGTATAAAAGACAAGAACTAACAATGTGTATGTGTCAGCTTAGAGGAAAACATTTAGGCTTATTCTTCATAGTTTTTATATTCCACTAATCATACAAACTGTTAAGTTTATAAACTGTCTTATAAATCCATAAACTACATGGGTTGGAGAGCTCTCAACTGTATCTCATAAGTCAATAAATTCCAAGTTCACTCATAATAAGCAATCTGGACAGGCCATGTATGTCCTTTTTTCCCCATGCATATCCTTTAAAACATTCATAAATAAAAACTCCTCCCATTATCTTCTCATAAAAAAAAAAATATATCACTGGCATATTTTCAACAGTCAACATTAGCCAGGCCTCTAGAGGAGGGACAGAAGCAGTTCTAAAACCTGGGAAAACTAAAATTAATCTGCCAATGTGTGTCTTCTAGAAATGAAAACTGATTTGATTATAAACCTTATCCTTCATAGTGCTACAAAAGCAGCCTTTTCTTTTATGACTCTGAACATTTTATCTTCTTCCTTGACATCCTCTTCCTACTTCTCCCCAGAATTCATATGATGAAACTTAATCACCCATCTCACGATATATATAGGAGGCAGGCCTTTGGAGCTGTGTAGGTCTTGACAGCTAAATCCTGATAAATGGTATTAGCACCCTAATCCCAATAGAAGCTCCACCTTGCCTCTTCCATTACATGAAGACACAGGGAGAAGGCACCATCTATGCCCTCCTAGATGCTGCAGACATCTTGATCTAAGAATTCTCAGCCTCCAAAGATATGAGAATAAATTTCTGTGTTGACAAACCATTCAGTTATGGTATTTTGTTATGAAAGCTCACACAAAGACTTCCTTAGACCAAAGCTTCACAAGAGCTTTCAGCTAAAAAGGAATGGCTTTACATCCCTGCTCTGCAGTAAGACAGTCACGAGCCATGTGTTCTTATTAAGGACTTCAAATTTGTCTAGTATGACCAAGGAAATAAATGTTAAATTTTAATTTATTTAAATTTATACTTGTAGCGTTTGGGCCATGGGGTTGACTCACACTCATCGACACGGCCGGGGCGAGCCGGAGGGGCATGTCAGAGGTAATAAAGCTATTACAATCAAAATACCACTCTAAAGAAGAAACAAATTATCTGTGAGAAAGTTCAAATGAAACTCAGCAAAGAATGCTTTCATCCTTACAATATGTGCATTACAGACCTAAGGACTTCCCACTGGGAAGAAGCAATCTAGGAAACAAAAGGAGGTAAGGACAACAGGAGATTGGCTGAGGAGTGTTATTTCTTGTGGAAATCGACACGGCTGCAGCATATGAGCTTGGCAGAAGATGTTAAAGCCATGCTCACAGAACTTCGCAAAGAGGTCTGCCTGCTCTTGTTAACAAATGGTGACAGACAGACGCAGCGGGAAAAGATCAAGGCTTGTGCCTGTCAGTCCTACTTTGACGCTATTGTTGTAGGCGGAGAGCAGAAGGAGGAGAAGCCAGCACCTTCCATATTTTATCACTGTTGTGATCTCCTTGGAGTACAGCCTGGGGACTGCGTGATGGTTGGTGACACGCTGGAGACTGATATACAAGGAGGTCTCAATGCAGGGCTGAAAGCTACTGTGTGGATAAACAAGAGTGGAGTCATGCCACTGACGTCCCCTATTCCACATTACACAGTTTCTTCTGTGTTAGAACTACCTGCTCTCTTACAGAATATTGATTGTAAAGTCAGTTTGTCCACGTAAAGCACATCAAAAGCACAGTTTCAAATTTTAGAATCTATTTCCAGGGTCGAAACTAAGAAGACTTAAGCCATTTTGTATATTATGGTCCAAGTTCTGAAAGTAATTTGACTTGGGATTTGATAGCAAATTTGTGAGAATCTTCGCAACCTCATTGCTCTTTATGACCAACCATGGACTTGTATTTATATCTGAAAATCCAGATTATGTTAATACAAGTTAGTGCTCTAGTCCAAAACATTTGAGGAGATACATCATTTTTTAGACTGTAACTTAAGATTTGAAAAAATTGTATTTTTAATCTTTTAGTATTTTGGCTTCGTGGTACAAAGCAGAATAGTTTACATTTGGATATGCAAGTACAGGTTGTATGGCTTAAAAAGATACTTTTTAAAAATAGATATTCTAAAAATTTATAGTAGAGATTTATCAGAGAAACTGAGTCTGGTTAATACGAAATAAATACTAAATCATGCAAAAAAAATTTATACTTGTATAGCCACATTTGGTGAATGGCTTAATACAGCACCAATGCAGAAAGCTTATATCATTGTAAAAAGGTCTATAGTCTACCTCTACCTTAACTTCAACACAAGATTCTCCCCTTTACTTTAAATTTTTTCACCTGGAAAGCCATGGTATTTTTTTTTTTTTTTTCAGTACTGAGGATTGAACTCAGGACCCTGTGCTTGCCAGGCAGGTGCTTATTCTACTGAGCTATCTCCCTGGCCCCAAGCCATGCTAGTTTTGTCTTTGCATTTCCTCCATTCTTACATAGTGGATTTATTTAATGTTCTTTTTCCACATCCTCAGCTATTCAATGAGCTCTTGTCTAAGAGGGTACAACAAAAGTGTAAGAGTATCTTTGTTTTTGCAAAGTTTATTGCTTTCAAGAGATAATAATACCCACAACACAAGTATAAATAATCCTAAAGAAAGCACTTTCAGCCATATGGCTGATATACTATTTCATTATACCTAAAGCCAGTATTCTTTCACCTCATAAAAAACTCTCAAATATGAGTACTACTATGAAACTTATCAAAAATACAAGACAAAAAGTGTAAGCTGGGGAGATGGCTCAGGAGGATAAGCACTTGCCTAGCAAGTGCAAGGGCCTGAGTTCAATTCCTGGTTCTGCCAAAAATAAAAAATAAAAAAAAAGAAATAAGTAAACTATTTTTTTGAAACTGTCTCATTGCTATCTGTTTATCAATAAAATTTTGGAAAAAAAATTCGCTACAGGTAGGACATAAAACTCTTAATTGAATTACGATGTGTTTTCTTCAAACTCAGAACCCATTAAATCTGAAGATAAAGAATGAAAAACAAAAAAAAAAGTGTAAGTAGTTGACATCTATAAAAGCAAATATCGTGTTAAAATTTTTAAGTTTCTATAAATATTCAAAACATATAAAGTATCATATAAGGTGCTAATAGAAATATAAAGCTAAATGATGTACTACACTTAGGGAATTGATAAAATTGATCATTGCAAAAAATCTGTAAACACATCCAAGCTACAGCTATTAAGCCCTGGAAATGTTAAAAATTTTTGTTTAGTGTTTTAGTTTGTCTTAAAAGCTATTAGGTAATTTTAACTTGAGTCTGGATATGCTGTAGCAGAGTATGGTCCAGTCCCATCCAGTCCCCACCTTCCCACCCCCACCCTCTCCAGCCAGTATACTTCAGTCTGTTAGTTGCCCAGGTAATGACTATATTTACAGCCCCTGTTACTTTTGTTTCTTAGTAATGGCTAATCACTAAAGCTGGTCATTATGATGAACATTGTATCAGCCAATCCCCAACTGACAAGCTATTTTGTCTCTGTACCTCCTGCTTGCTTATCCCATATAAGCCCTAGACCACCAGATAAGGGCCTAAGATTTTGAGAACAATCCTGATCAGTGCCTGTCAACATAAATAAATCTGCCTCCAAATATTGGGTTTCATTTTATGTTTCTGCTTGACATTGCATCTAGTGTGTCAGGAAAACTGACCATGCTGAACTCTTTGGTCACCAATTGTGGTCCTCATGGATGGAGCAAGGACCTCTCGAGGTCCTGACCAGAAGGCATGCCCTCAAGATTTCTCAAGTCCCCTTGAAGGTCTGGAGGATGATTCCTGGCTCTCTGCTCAAGTGGCTCACATCAGATCCCAAAGGGAGAATGATGCAGTCTGTCTGTCTGCCTGATTCCAGTAAGAACCCCAGGGGCACCCTAGTTAATCTGTTTGTCAGTCCTTCTCAGCTTAAGCAGAAAAAAAGAGTCTGATCAACTCTTGTTAGTGAAGACCACCCTCAAGGGAAGGGGGTTGGAATGTTTAACCTCTGAGTGCCTTTTGAATGAATATGTGAGTGAGACAGTGTAAGCAATAGGCTGCTCCATCTGTACACCAAGACTGGCAAGCACTGGTAGCGGCTGCTGAACAGGCCCTCACCTGTGGTTCTGTGGCTATTGACATGACATATGGCACAATGGAGGCTTCACAACCCTCCTTAGCTAAGTCTTGCCTAAGTTCCTGTGAGGGGCATGGCCAGGCAGGCATCTGAATGCTCTCTCTGAGAGGCACCCACCCTTTGTTGCGTCATCATTCAAGGGTATACAACACACATAGGAAGTCAGAGATGAAAATTAATTAGTCAAAACCCACAGTCCCTGCAGGAAACAGGGTTTTTACAGGGTTAAAAATAAAACCAAACCACTCCCTGCATCTCAAAATAGGAATTTTTTTTTTTTTTTTTTTTTTTTTTTTGGCTCCGAATGCCTTCAGGGCACGTTTGGCTGGCTGGAGTTGTGGGGATCGCACCACAGCAACCTGAGCCTGACTGCTTTGTTGAAGCTGCCACTTAAATAACTGAGCTAAGGGGCAGGCCTCCCTCAAAATAAATAAATAAATAAATAGAAAAAAAGATGCCCATTCTTTCTGAGAATTCCAGGTTAGCACCCTCATCAGCGACCACAATTGCTGGCAATACCTGTAGCTTTACTCCTCCTAAATTGTCTACTTCCAGACAAATGAACTGGCTCTAGCTAGCTATTGCCAGCATTTGTCCATAGAGGCCCTCCCCTCCTGAACCTTCTGTTCATGGCTATACCTGCCCTGGTCAGATGGTGTCATCTAATACTCACCCAAGATGACTGTCAGCAATTCTTTCTGAGTTCTACATTTTGACTCAGGAAAAATTGAAATGTCAGCCCTGATGAATGAGTTGCCATCGTCTTTCCCACAGGTCATTCAGCCTATGCACCAAAAATCAGTTAAGTGTTTCTCAAAGACATCAAAGAGAGGAAACAAAAATCTCATCTACCACTATTACCCAGAAATCTGATGAAAGAAAATCACCTGGTGTTTGTAAGAAAATCCAGTATGACAGATGACCATACCCTCTGGCTATAAGTTACAAGGGCAATGGACACAAAAAATAAATGTCCCTGTGTCTGCAAGACACAAAAAAACCTGACTATCCAGACCCACCTCAACCTGAATCTCTCCTTGTCCTGTCAGAGTGGATAGGACAGCCTGAGCTCTATCAAGTTGAGCTCCTGAGAGCCTACAATCATTGTAAAAGTTGGGGATGAGCCTGAGACTTTCCTGCTAAACAATAAAACAGAACTCTCTGCCTTCAAATATTCCCTCTGCCAAAAAGTTACCATCACCAGGGCTACTGGGACTCTTGCCTGTCACTCCTTCTACCAGGCATGAACTTGCAGGCTGGGAGGACATCTCACCAAACATAAATTCCTGTCATCAAGCCAGTCAGCCTCCCTATCTTTTAACCCTACACTTTCCCCTAAAGGAAGATAACATTTGCATCAGAGATCCCTGAGACAGATAACCACAATCCTGAAATTCTGAAAACTCTCCTCCCAGAGGTATAAGCCAAAGACTCAACTATGTGCCTGCCCATCAATCATGCTGCCTCGCTGTGACCCCCCCTTGCTATCAAATGTCACAGGAAGTACAAACAGGCATCTAGACACACAGCAGTTCCAGATCTTAATGAACTGTTAATCACCTTGCACTCTGCAATTCCTAACCCATATACCCTTTGTGGACTATTATCTCCAGATATTCCCGGTTTACATGTCTAGATTTAAAAGATGCTTTCCTCTGCTTGGGAGTGGCTCCTATAAGCCCCTTCAACTGGGAAAATCCTAAGACAAGTTGCAACTCAATTGAACTCAATTGCCACAGGGGGTTAAAAACTTTCCCACTATTTTCAGGGAGGATCTAACAACAGACTTGACCAAGGCACTAGCACCTTTTCTCTGAGATGGTAAATAACACTGTCGGAGGGCCAGGGAGATAGCTCAGCAGAACAAGTGCTTGCCTGGCAAGCACAAGATCCTGAGTTCAATCCCCAGTACCAGAAAAAAGAAAGAAAAAAAGATTGTCAAGCTGCTAAAATACATCTCACCTGCTTGTAAAGCCAGTTCAAGAGCCAGTTCTCTGAGCAGACAATGTCACCACAATTGCCCTCATATATACATTGCTTCAGTCTTCTGCCACCCATAACTTGTTGATATACCTGCCTGGACCTAAAATATGCCACCTTCTTCCTTCAACTGGCTCCTGTCTGCCAGTCCCTCTTTGTAGCTAACCTAGACTCAACCTCCCAGAAGTTCCAAACTTGTTTCCTCTCTGAAAAAGCTTTTCTGATTAGTGATACCCAAGCTACCTGCTGGGAAGACACAGAAGCTCTACTACAATATCTAGGAGAAACTGATGTAAGAAAAAAAAATTTTTTTAATTTCTTGGAGGTTCTGGCTTCTACAGAATCTGGATT